CTTACTTTGTGTTGTTCTAAACCCTTGCGTCTTTCTCTTTTAGGCTGCGGATATGATCAAGGCCAAATGGAATCTGCAGATATAAGAGCTGAGGCCCGACAGTTAATTCCTAGGGCTAGAACACATATATGTTGTTTTGTAAATGTGGACAGGATATGCGGAATTTGTTTTTTTGAGATGACACTTCAGCGGAGGGCGGCCTGTGGATTCAATTCCCTAGCTTGAGTGAAAAGAATCAGAAATGGAATGACTAGTACAGTCAATCAACGTCCGATTCCCCATCTGATTGAATCCCTGGCTAAACTCGAATCAAAATAGTTGAAGGGTATCCAAGGAAAACCATCGTCCCCACTGTATTCGGACGCGGGCAGTCGAACATCGGGTTGCGACCGCTTATCTTATGTGAAACAGACCGCCATAGAGACTTGCCGTGTGCCGTACACCCCGCCCTATTTCTCGTCCTGTCGGGTACCCTGATTAAATGTGAATAAAATGAGGGATATAATCAAATGATAGCAGATGCCGGATTCAGACGCGGTGTGGCGGTGCTAGTAGCTAGATTGGGACATGTGGTATTAGTCATCATCGCATCTTTTCCTGGTTTTCCATCGCCTGGTCCACTTCACTGCGTTCAGAGGGTCCGTCGGCACACCTACGCGGACATGTGCCGAGCTGCGCCGACCCTTGTTGGGACACGTCGGCACACCCTCGGGTTGAGTCCGACATGGGCCGACGTGAGGTCGACGGGTATGCCGATGTGTCCCGACAAGGGTCGGCACAGCTCGACGCATGTCGGCGCAGGTGTGCCGACGGGCCCTCTGAACACAGTGCTTCCGAGGTCCAGGAGCGCAGCCCAGTTGAGAGCAGGTCGATTCATATACCAGAGGGCTAGAGCCCTCTCGAGTCTCCAGCGGGGAGTCGAATGCCGGACTGAGCTGCTCATTTCTTCGAGTGGACAAAGACTCCCGCGGTATCGTAAGCCACGCCCGATTCCTCGTCCTATCGAGTCCCTCATTAAACGTGAATGAACAGAATCAGAAATGTCACAAAAGTAGATCACGATTATATACAATGTTCAGACGCGGGGAGTCGAACCCCGGGTTGCGAGCCGCTTATTCTGTCTACGACAGATCCACAGAGTCTCGCTGTGTACCGTACACCACGCCCAACTCTTCATCCTGATAGGTACCTGGCTAAACCCGAATAAAATAAAATGGAGCGAGTGTATGGGCCATATAGTGTATAATTGTTATTCTGAAAACACTGTGCAAAAATATGCAGCTTTGGTGAGCATGCAGAATTGCACGCAACTTGGTGGGTGTCCATTCCCAATTACACGCTGCTTGCTTCTTTGGCTCAAGTTACACAACCCTGTGCACGTCCTCGACTGGACTTTTTTTGAAAAATATGTAGCTCGGCTTTGAGCCCATAGAAGAACTGTACAATTTCCAATAATCCCTTCGGAAATCAATTAATTCTCGATCTTCCTCGGAAGGAACTTACGTGTAGCGAATGCGAGGCGAGTTCACCTCACCAGCACACAGTCTCATCAACTCGTCATAAGCTGAGCTGGACCCGTTTTCCTGAAAAGCCCATGGCCTCCAGGTGGCCCCAAATAATCATGGATCCGGAAAATGGGTGCTTGCTGGAGGTTTTCACCATGGTCTCGTGAAGCTCCTGTCCATCCACTCCTTTCTGGCCATTGAGCAACCTGCGTGCTCCATCTGGCTGTGAATATTCGTCTGTGTAGCACCCATGGCTTGCGCAATACCCCCCCCTCCAATGTGTTCCTGAGAACCAGTGGTGTTTTTGTGCCGATCACGGCCGGAGGATCATGGAGCAACACCGCACAAAAGACAAATGAGGGGCCGCCAGCATGGCCAGTGATGTTCAAAGGAATATTTGTGCTTGCAGGAGGAGGGGGGTCGGTAAAGAAATCCTCCAATGGCATGAGAAGGCTCTGGACATCGGCCATGAGTTCTGCTATGTCCTTAGGTTCCAAGTGAGCAACCAGTGGGAATCCTAGTGTGCCGGGAGGATCGTGTATATAGCACTGAGTTGGTGGGCAAGCTGTTCTACTACTGCCAGCTGTTCAGCATTCGGAAGAGAGAGTCCACGATGAATTGAGCCTCAATGATCAATGAGGAAGTCGTGGATAGCCATGATAAAGATACGCGGATGATCCAGATCACGAGATAACGGAATCCGGGGAAATGGAAATTCTTTTTTGGGGATTTTTCAGGCTTTCAATTGGAGGCACTGAGCTGCGTCATTTGTGAGGCTATGTGCACATACCAGTGTATATCTCTTCGCCCAGATTTTTAGTTTTTAGTTTTTTCTCCACCTACACAATTTCAAGTTTTCAACCTGTGTGTGGTTGACTGTCGTCACCCGTAGTTGTGTCGTTCTCGACTGTGGTTGGCCGGAGTTGTGTAGTTTTGGGTCATTTTGAGGAAGTGGCGTAAGTTTTTAATTATTATACAGTATATGTGCCATACGAACGCAAGAGGGCGGGAGCTGTATTCGGACGCGGGGCATCGAACACCCACCTGTGGGAGGTTATCCTTTCCTTAATCCTTTTCACGCCAAAGTCACAATGTGCCGCACACCACGCCACTAATAGATGTGTCGATAATGCATTAGCCCAGTAACTGCTGAAAAAGCCAATCCATTATCTCCAAGGTCTGCCAGTGATATCTTGTTGCAGCTATTACATTGAGGGTACATATATCACACGTTCCCCCCTCATCCTTTTCTCAATATCTAACCTAGTTAAAGGGAGAAACGGGAGAGGGGGATAAAAAGATGCCTTCACGGCGTTATTATTCGGACGCAGGGAGTCGAACCCCGTTCTGCGAGCTACCTGGGTTCTTTTTCCTTCAACAGGTCGCGCCGTGTACCGTACACCACGCCCTATCGAGTCCCTGGCTAAACCCACATCAAAATCCTGCGACAAGGAATAATATCATGATATAAAAACAAGAACTGCTCGCAGATCATTCGGGCGCGGGGAGTCGAACCCCGTTCTGCAAGCGGCCTATCGTTCCCTGAAACAACCAACAGAGCCCCGCGGTGTACCGCACACCACGCCCGATTTTTCACCCTGGTGGGTACCTGGTTAAACGGAGAACACGGATGAGAGGGGAATAAAACGTAAACCGATCTCGCCCTTCTGAGATTCGGACGCGGGGAGTCGAGCCCCGTTCTGCGAGCTGCAAAGATGCTATTGGTACCGAGTCCCACGGTGTGCCGTACACCACGCCCGATCCCCCGTCCCATCGCGTCCCTCGTTAACCGTCAACGTATACTACCTCGCACTAAAATCAGGAAACACCATTTATGTATATTGCTACACTCTGTACATATATATCTCTTTGGTTTAAATTTTCTGGTACGCCGAACGGTGAGAGGGAATGAGAATAAGTAAGCTGAACTAAGTAAACGAGAGTCAGATATACGAGATGAGATGAGAGCAGGAGAGGGAAGGAGGTATTAGAACAACAACCACAGCCGAGAATGCGATAAATACCGTGTACCGTGTATGCGCGTCGCAGCTGCAGATAGATACCCCAAATCAAATAAACAAATCGGCACCCCTCACCTCAGCCCCGCACTCGCCCAGCTGCTCTCGCTCCCCCCGATCTCGCTCTCGCTCCCGGCACTGCTCCACCTCTCCAGCTCGTCCGCGTCCGCGTCGACGTCCGAGCCGCCCTCGGACGCGGAGAGCACGCCGAGCCGCGGCGACGAGGCGAACGAGTAGAACTGCTCGTGGGACCCGGCGCGGAAGTCCGAGTCGGAGAAGGGCGAGGCGGGGCGCGAGGAGCGCGAGGAGGCGGAGAGGAGCTCGAGATCGTGCTCGGACGCGAGGTCGAGCGGGTGGGAGAGGCTGAGGGAGGGGACGTGGTGCGGGGAGGCGAGGGCGAGCTCGAACGGGTTGGGGGGTGCCGTGCTGGCGGGCTCGAAGGGATTCGCGAGGGGCGCAGGGGTGGGGAACGGAGACGCGGAAGGGGAGGACGCGTGCACGGACGGCTCGGGCGTCGGGGGGGCGCGCGGCGGGGGGACGCGGAAGGCTGAGTGCGAGAGGGTGCTGTGCGGGCTCGGCGTGGCGACGCGGCTGCTGATCGTCGACGTGGGGCTCGACACCGTCTCCGTCAGCGCATCCGCGGGGTCGAAGAGGACGTGCGTCTGCGTGGGCGTCAGCGGCGAGTACGGGATCTGGAGGTTGCTCTATTCGTCCCGTAATCAGTTGAAGATCAAGGAGGATGAAAGGGAAGGGGAGCAAGCAGGACACACCTCGTCGAGCGCGGAGCTCGTGCCCCGGGGCCTGTGCCGCAGCGTCGACGGCCCGGCGCCGACCTGGCTGCGCCACTGCCGCACCTCGTTCGCGACGACGCTCTCGAGCTCGTATACGCTCTTCCCGTCGCCCTCCAAATCGGTTGTCCCGTCGTCACCCCCGTGCCCGTCGTCGTCCGAGCGCTTATTGGCCACCGGCACCGCAGCGAGCCCCGCTTTCCGGCGCTTCCTCGCCGCCCGCTTCGCGAGGAACTCCTCTGCCCAGCGCTCGACGCGGGGTGCGATGTGCGGCTCGTAGACGAACTACATTCAAGCGCAGATAAGCATCAGTCGTCTGATAGGTAAGCGAGCGAGACGACACTACACACCTCCTTGAACGCCACGCCGGCGGCGACGGTGCCGACGGCGGCGAGGACGTACACTCCCACGACGGCTGGGGCGGGCATCTATCTTCCTGGTAGTAGAGGGGAGGGTGGGAGAGACAAAGAGAGGTGATGGATCTCCACAGCAGCTGTGTGCGCGTGTTTCGCTTGTTTCGCTTGAGATGCCGAGCCAGCCGCGCTACGCCCGCAGCCCGATCGGGTAATTGGCAATTGCTGCGGGAGATGGCGTATCAATTTCGGTCCAAACCGCGGAATATGCTTTCTGTCCGCTCTTGGTTCACAATTTCCGTTCAAGTTTAACGGGGTACACAACCAGGACACTAATCGGACGTGGTGTACGGTACACCGCGGGACTCTGTGGCTGAAAGCGATCGAAAGCAGCCCGCAGGACGGGGTTCGACTCCCCGCGTCCGAATTACAGATTCGATTCAAGCATCTTTTTATTCCCCTCTCACCCGTGTTCTTGGATCTAACCAAGGATGCAAGAGGATAGAGAATCTGGCGTAGTGTACGGTACACCGCGGGACTCTGTGAAGAGAAGTTCTTGGTTGTATTGAACATCTCGCAGTCCGAATTGACGACCCCAAGTCCCCAAAGCATATCCTTTTATTACCTTTGAATTCCTTTGATTCTAGTTTAACCAGGGATTCAATAGGATGAAAAGTCGGGCGTGGTGTACGGTACACCGCGAGCTACTGTGGTTCAGTGTGAAGGATGTAGGCAGGTCACAGTCCGGGGTTCGACTCCCCGCGTCCGAATTACAGATTCGATTCAAGCATCTTTTTATTCCCCTCTCACCCGTGCTCTCGGCTCTAACCAAGGCTTGAACAACGATGTAGAAATGGGCGTGGTGTATGGTACACCGCGGGACTCTGTGAGGAGTTCTTGATTGTATTGAACATCACGCAGTCCGAATTGACGACCCCAGGTCCCCAAAACACATCCTTTGATTCTAGTTTAAAACCAGGGATTCAATAGGATGAAAAGTCGGGCGTGGTGTACGGTACACCGCGAGCTGCTGTGGTTCAGTGGGAAGGATGTAGGCAGGTCACAGTCCGGGGTTCGACTCCCCGCTCCCGAATACGACGTTGGTGTGGATTTTTTTTATTCCCCTCACCCCTCGGCTGGTATCTCACCACGGATCCAATCGGGCCTGGTTTACGGCGCTCTGTTCAAAATCTTTTTATGTTTCACCAAGAACTCCACCCGCTGAGGAATCTGGTGTGGTGTACAGAGTCCAGGCTCGCAATCTTCATCCACAATATCTTTCACACGGAACTCTGTCCGATATTCCCTATCGGTATCTCTGAAGGGTTCGGCTCCCCCGGCTCCCCCCGCCCAAATCTCGATGTCTCTCTTTTTGACCACACTTCTTCTTCGGCTGAAGTTTAACGAGACCTTCACCAGGGATATTAATTGGGCGTGAGGTACGACACACCGCGAGTCTCTGTGATAAACCGGTGCAATCGACGTGCCTCTCCACAGACCCAATTTACCACTCGACTCGGACAATCACAGAACAGACCGTTTCACTCCGGGCCCGGTTGTAGATTTGACCAACCAACCAAACAGTGCTAAGTCCAGGTGCCGCGGTCTAAGATCGTTTAACTCTGCTTACTGTTGGGAATATGGCCTGTCACGCGTCCCCTTGGTTTCGCCCCTTTGTGTCGCATTACTGTGGACTCTCGATCACTCACTTATATTGCCTCGATATGCCTATCTACGCTAGCTTTATCCCTCGTCGCACTTGTACCCCCCGTAACATATCTGCGACTATATCTCCCTGCTTGCGCTACTTCCCGTGTGACGGCCAACCTTCCAACACTTACTTGTGCATCATTCATTTCTGCGGGAACTATGACCCAGTATTTAGTACAATGAAATGGAACAACTTTTTTTTTTCTATACTACAAAGGTAATTGAGTGAAACTCCATACGAAGGGTGAAACGAAATGAAACAAACGGCAGTTTACATGCAGTGGAGTGCAGTATTACACGCTTTTAACCTCTTCAATGACGTCCAGAGCTATATCCGTTTCGTTACGAGGGAACTGGGACTCGTCTTATATGCACTTGAAAGACCTGGGTCGATAGTTGCCAGCCTGGTATCAATTTGATCAATTTCTTTCTTCCGCAATGACTGTTCAAACAGCGGGCGTGCAGCCATCCAGAAATCAACTGCCCTGGCAAAGTCACTTTGATTTTTAGCTATGTCTCCCAGACGAAGCATACACGCAGCTTTGCTGCTATAGATATCCATGAAGGTAAATCCTTCAAGTGCTGTAAGAAAAAGACTTTGTGCTGTGGCTTCATCCTGATTATGCAGAAACACCTCGGCCATCAGGAGGAGTGCTTTGTACAGTGCCAACTTCTCTCCAGATTTCATGCAGGTGGCCAGATACACCACTGTCATGGTAGATGCCCACATGAAGTCGGCTGAACTCCAGAGCCTGACATCACTGAGTTTCTCTAGGCAGAGAGACACAAGGTCGGCCATTCTTCCCCGAGAGGAGTTCAAACACTGTTCGAGCTCCATCTTCGCAGCCCTAAGATTTCCCTCCCTAAGATGAAGATGTGCTAGCGTACAGTCACAACAAAGGGAGCCGTGGAGGAATCCTACACGATCGAATGTCTCCTTCGCCTTGTTCAGATTCCGGAGCACATATTCCTGCTCGGTGCCAGTCAAGACATCGATCTCTGCAATATTTAATAATGCATAGGCCTCGTTGAGTATATCATCCCCAGCAGCATTCTTGGCGATCTCGGTAAACATCCTTCGGGCCCTGGCATAATCGGATTTCAACAAGTACACTTCTGTTTCATTTGACATGAGCTGTCGATCCAAATGTCCCCCGGACATACCACAGAGGCTCAAGAGTTCTCTTGCCCTGTGATATACAGATACTGCATTTTTATAGTCACCAAGAGTGGTATAGCATAAGGCGACCACCCGAAGAGCTCGGGCCTCTTCAAATAGATTGGCAGATAATGTGGCAAGCTTTTGTGCCTCGCGTGCCAATCTTTGTGCCAGGTGGTATTCCCCATTGAGCTGCTTGATCTCACCAATGTCGGTCAATGCCCTTGACTGCAAGGCAGTATTTCCACAAGATCTTGCCAAATGAAGGGCCTTTTCCCAACAGTCAACACCTTGAGATTCACTGTTTTGACGAAAGGCATAGTAACCTCCGACCGCCAGATAAAATTCACCTATATCAATGTGTTAGAGAGAAAATTATCGAAGCAGGCTCACACTCAAGGACCGGATCGTCAATACTCTCAAAAAGGTGGATACCACGATCAATAAGGAGTTGGGTGGTGGATGAAGGGATATCTGATGAACGTAATCTCTCATAGATGAAACGTGCCTCCAACCGGTGGTCACAAAGTGGCGGAAGAAGATCGGGAATATACCCTATGAGGGAGGTAGAACCATAACCACTCAGGCGACTGAAAATATTGAAGGTTATGGTACAATCAATGGCCTCTCCAAGTCCCGGATTATCCCTATTCAAGCCAAGCAACAGTATTTGTTGTAAATTGCCACGATTAGAGACTATTTGGTTGATTTTCCCATCCATCTGATGAGAAACTCCGTGGTACTTCTCATACAGATCCATGAGCAAGTGGAAGAAGTTTCGAAGTGGCTGTAACAATAGTGCTGATGGTGGAAAATTCTGCTGCATATATTCCCGGATGGGCACCAGTGCCTTGATCTTCCCATTTGGATGCTTGTGAACCAAGGTTGTTTGCATCAGAACCACTTTGCATGCCAAGATATTTTCAATGGGAATATTACTCTGCAACAGTTCCGCATCTGACAGCCCATCTGGAAGAATTGCTAGGAGACTAAGCAAATCCTTGGTACCAGGCCTGTCAGCAATCCGAGGACTTGAGAGGGACAGGGTAATGGATGAATCTAGGTTTGATCTTCTATCATATCCTTTTGAAAGCATTGAGGTTCTTTCCGTCTCCCAACGGCTCAAGACACTCTGGCACCCTTCAAAGTCTACCAGATGAGCCAGAAGGTTCACTGCAAGAGGCAGGTTGTCCGTGAGTTGGAGAAGTTGTTCAATGTCTTTGCTATCATGAAAATCATCGGTTATTTCCATGAAAGTCTGTTTAGCGGCCTCGTATGACAAGGGCTCCAAAGGGTGCAGAAATGGGCGAGTCCAGCGAACTTTTGCTGGTCTCTCCGCACCTCGCATTGTTATCTGGCTGTATATTAATAAAAGGTAATCAGTGAAATGACTGCTTGCTTACTATCAATCCAAGATGCACAGAATCTGTAAGTAAGGATAGAAACTCTTCAACCTGGCCTCGGGAATGTGCTGGTTCCCAGGGGGTTTCAAGAGTATCTAGAACCAGGAGAGAAGGTGGGCCCTGAGAGAAAAGCTGAGCCACATGTTTCCTGAGGTCCCTCCCTGGCTTCAACCCTACATGGACGCCAATCACGGCTGCAAGTTCAATACAGGTCGTTGCAGAATCAGCAGCCACAAAGATCCTATGCCTGTATTTTGTTGACACTTCAGGATGATGTAGAACAGCTTTTGCGAGACTAGTTTTGCCCATCCCCCCTGCACCCAGAATGGCCACTCTGGGTGAATCTTGACGGAGAGCTTGCAAGATGTCCTCGAGTTCAACATCACGCCCGTAGAATATCTGGGGCTTCGCTGGCAAAATGGAGAATGAATTCGAGCTGGCAAACCAAGATGAAATCATATTGCGAAAGTGAGGTTCAGATAACTTACCTGCTTTTTGAATGCAGTACCGTTGAAAATGTCTGATTATCCGATGAGTTTATGGTGAAATAACGCTATGAGGTATGCATACGGAGGATGCTTGGTCCGAGGTGGTTTCATCGGACAAGGTGGAAATCAGTTCTAGTAATTCCTGATGCATTTTTTCCATCCTCTTCTGGGTATCCATAATGTTAGCTGACATGGTCAGATCGTCGATCTGGGTCACAGCTTGAATTTTCTTAGATAAAAGGGAAGCGAATGGAATGGCCACCTTGGAAACTTCCAGAGCCTGTTCCAGCTCCATGCGACAGGATCTGAGTAACATATTCCTCTCGCCCTGACGGAAGAGGTGCATAACAATGGTACCATCTTGTTGAGCCTCAACATATGTATGTATCTTGTGAAGTGTCCTGCTCATCAACATTCAACATAATCCAGAATAGTGAGATGGAAAATACTCGGTAAATTTCCCAATATTATACAATAGCGCCGGCGGTAAGGTCCCCGGAGTTTCGGATTTTATATGGAGGTTGATGATACCATACAGGAGTCCATGGATCGTCTCCATGAGTTGGATGCATTCCTCTTTATTCCGCTTCACATTCTGAAGTAGCAGGTCAGACTGGTAGGTTCCGTGATTGTTACTTCTTACCCGGAGAATATCAATAGCGGCCAG